AGATGGAAGATGAGTTTATAGGAAACAGACCATGTTCACTCAGACTTCCTTAAACAAAGTTTTTTGACTGGGGTCACAGATCATCGAAGATAAAATAATGATAACAAAATAAATATATCTGCTTGATCTTGATTGCTTACATATGCCTGCTATGTCAAAAATGTAATGAAACAGTCTTTCATCTCTGTATAACTTTGTAAGCTAATGGTTTGCCCTATTTTTTCACAGAGAAGATTGGCATCTTATGTAAAGCACTAGTAAAAACTGAATTCTGCTGGCAGGGTGGTAGAGGCTGTACTGCCTGCGCTGCCCTTCCTGAAACTCTACTGCCACTTATACTTAGTAAACTCTCCAATGTGCTTTGCAACAAAGCTTTTTTATTTATTGCAACGTGGAGCTCGTGCATGATGCAATGAATTGTCATTATGGTGGATCTGGTGGGGGCATCAGGTATGTCACGCCTGAGTCAGTGGCTGTCCTTGCCTTGGCCAGCCAAGGATGCCACCAAGGTGTCTTCCTGGATGCCAGGGTCTTATTTATGCCTGCTTTTGCCATAGCCTTTCCGTCCTAATTGTGTGGAGTTCGCTGCCCCGTCTCATGGTGGTAGCTGCTGCTGCTGAATGGCTCCTTGTCCCTTTCTTCCACTCTGGGAAAACCAGAGTGGGCTCCACTCCTGTGTCCTGGAAGGCTGAGGGAGGAGATTGAGGATCAAAGAGCACTGATTGTGTGCCTCTGCCTTCCTGCTCTTGTAACTGAGAGGTTTTCGTGTCCCATCCTGTTCCCCAGAAGGGAAACTATGTGTCTGACAGGTCTGGTGGTCACAGAACATTTGAGTAAGTCTCCTGCCTCCCCTTTCTATTCTCATTCTAGCTAAAACTCCTGCTGCAGCATGCACAGCTTTCATTGGGTGTCAGTCATAGGTATCAGGCCTGTTCTGTTTAAAGGTCCTTTCTATAGACCATCATGTTTCCTTGAGGAGGGAAGCAAGAGAAGGTAAAATGCATCTCATAAAATACAAAACACAGCCAAACCTGAATGGAATTTCATGAGATAAAGAAAGGATGCTTCTTTGTCTGAATTTTGAAAGCCTGCTGGAAACAGTTTAATTTGAGCTTCTCAGGGGGAAAAAAAAAAAAAATCACAGGAACCTTCTTCAAAGAAAATGTTAGACAATCTGATTATAGGAAAGCGTATCAGTTCATCTTAAACACCACTTCAGTCTGTCCTTTATCAGTTGCACAGTAACAGTTCCATGGGACTTGAGTCAAAACTTCCAAAAATAAATAAGCATAAAAGCTTGCCCCATTTTTTTTTTTCCTATATTTTACTGTGAAAGGAGACAGGCACTAAATTACAAAATCCATCTAAAATGACATCTTCTTTTGTAAACACTGTGAAGCATCACAGAGGGGGCTTGAAAGGGATATTTTGCAGCAGCATGATCACACACTGCTCACTTCCATTTCCTTTGGTCAAGAATTGCCTGCTGGGTCAATATTACCAATATTCCTTAACTCACACCCAGGATCAAGGAATTTTGTTCACGAGAAGTTTTTATCTTATTTTGTTTCAAATCTTTATTCTTCAGGACGTTAATAGTACTAACCAGTACTAAACATAGCACTGTTGAAAAAGTAAAAGCAAAATAGGAGTCTGAATTATGGGAACAGCTGAGTGGACTGTATCATACTGAGAGATGCTTTAATGAGAAGAAAATGGTTTTTTTGCTCTACAGAACATTTCAACTGACTGCTAAGAGGTCATGCCCTGTCTTAAAAACACGAAAAAAATCAGACGTACTTAGTTTTCTAGGTGTTGTATGGAAATGAAAGAAAAGAAGGAAGGGGGAAGTCTCTTCCCTTAGAGAGGAGTACAAGCAGACCAGAGAGATGAATTTGCAGAGGACAAAAGATGCTGCATGTCAAAAAAAAAAAAAAAAGCAAGCAACAAGAGCAGAAAAACAGTGACCAAGGCAGGAACACTTTCTTCTGCAAAGTGGCAGTGCACTTTATTCTCTGGCAGAGAAAGGAGCAGACTTATCTAAATGAATCTCATTTAGAGGTCTGGAGTAGTGAATACTCCAAAGCACAGCTTATGTGCCTGCATGGGAGTGTAAAAGAAATAGGTTATCCTGAATACAGAGGCAGGAGAGGGAAAAAAGTTTCTTGCTGACCCACAACTCTCAAGCAATTCTAGCAGGAAAAGGATTTCTAAGCTGAATTGTGGCAGATAATGCAGACTTTGAGGAGTGGAGAGAAAGCAGAAGAAAAGTGACTTCCACCAAACTATGGGCTCCTTCATGTGCCATGGGGATGAGGGGATTTCAGGGACTGGTAGCTGAAGCTGCTTAGAGAGGGGGCATACATAACATAAATTTCTCTTACTCAGTGTTAGTGTAAGTTCATATTTTACAGAACAATGAAAGTGCCCTTGTCATATGTTTATTTGTTTTGCCTTTCAAGCAAAGTATTTTATATTCTGCTGTTTAATAATATTTTCTGCTGTCTATGAGGCAGCCAAAACTAGTGATAGTGCAAGTAAAACAGAAGGGTTCCTAATGTAAAATTTATTTGTTTTTCATGCCCCCATGAAATATAACTCTCCACATCCAAAAAATGAAAAACAGTAAGGGATCTGTTCTCCCCTTTCTGCACACGTGTAACTCCATTTAGCAGCCACAAGATTAACACACCCCCATTAACTCTTTGAATACCTGCCTTCTGTACATTAAAAGCAGCCTAAATCTTAGGTACAGGGATACATATGTATCATATAAGAAGGTGCATTTTTTAGCTTTTTACGTTTAATATTGCTGGTGTCTTGTCTTGATTTTTGTCATCAATTCTCCTATGCGGCTGTAGCAAGAGTGTTTAATTTTCTATAAAGTAGATAGAGCTACTGTTGTAGTAGAGGAAGAGACGGGGAAAGCTTCAAATGAGCTGCACCAAGGTGCAGCTCCAAGCAGTGCTAAAGGAGAGCAGTAGAGACCATTTGGCCCTTTTTAGTAAACCTGCCCCTTTTCAGAGATCAAAAAGAAACTGTGTTGTAAAATGAATTTGATTGCTTCTGAAGAACTTCAGGACCCATCAAAGAAAGATGTAGCAGAAATTAAAGTTATTATCAATATTGATTTGTACTCCATGTGAATTTTGGACCACACACAGTAATGATAGAAGACTATACATAGGAAATGAAGTCAGAATAAGCATACAAATGCACTGCAAATTATACAGTAATTTGACTTTACATTTTCATACTTAGGCTTGCTCTCATATTTGACCAGGAAAGAAGGGAGAACCTTAAAGTTGTATTAACTTCTTACTACCAATTTTTGCCTCTGAAAGTAGATAATTTTTTTTGGCCTTGCTCTGGGTGTTATTTTCCATTTTCCTCAGCCTCCCACACGCTAATGATTTGTGCATGGAATTCTGTAACCCTATGAATATATTTTCTTTTTAAGAACAGTTTCCACAGAGGTGGAAAATGTGAAATGAAGCTTGTCATCCTCAAAGAAGGTTAAAGATCTAGGAGCATGTACAACTCTATTCTGAAAGTCCGTTTGTCAAGACATAATTTAGAGAGGTTTAGCTGCACAGATATAAATTCTGCATTTCTTTCAAGATGAATACTTTTATACATTCAGGCATATGATTTGTCAAGGCAGCTTTGTGGCCTGGTGGGCAATCAGAATTTGCCTTAGTGGATTGAAATGACCCAGAACAAACTCAGTACCTAATCTTCTTTATTGCTGAAATCAATAAGCAATCTATGCAAAGTGCTAACAGTTCTTATATAGGGAGTGAAAAGTAGAAGCGTCTGCTCCTTGAACTTCTAATGTTTTACGGGCCAGAAGTTTTGTTTTGTTATTTCACAAAGAATTTCTTAATTTTCTTTTATAAAGCATAAATGAATACGAGGTGTTTGCTTTGCGCTAATTTACACGTGAAATGTCACAAGGTTATTGTATCTTAAATGCTATCATCCAGAAAGCCCAATACAGCAGTCACTGAAAAATACCCACCTAGATAATTGAGTGGGGACGGTGAGCCTTGGCAGACAGTTCAGATGAGCAGCACAGTTACAGCTGACCATGCTGGCTCACAAGCTACCCTTCTGGAGAGCCCCATCCTAAACTAAGGTTTCCTCCTTTCCTCACATTACTAGATCCCAAATATATTCACCAAGTGCTGTTTTGGGTTGGTTTTGGTTTTGTTTTTTTTCTTTCCAGATTTTATAATGTATTTGGGGTAAGGAATATGCCAAAAGCTTAAATTAGTTTTCGTACAATTGTACTTTTTATTACCACACAACAGCTGATTTCCCCAGCCGTTTCATTTAATACTCATAGTTACAACTAGTCCTGAAAAGAGTGAAACGATTAAAATTAGAGTCACTGAATGGGCCAAAGCTACTCATAAGACAAGTGGTTTATGACTTTGGTATATTTGGAATAACCCAGGAGTTCTGCACTACCTTGCTGGGAAACAGACAGAATTCTGCAATCATCTGAATGAGGAAGAAATACAAAAAATGATGCCATTTATATCCATGGAAATTAATATCTTATGATAGAAACAGTGAAGAGAGACTTATTGCCAGATTTGGGCCTTGGAGCTACTTGCCCATCCGTGCACTTGTTTATACTATTTTTGTTTACCTGATATTGGAGAGCAGTCAGAAAAACTGTTATACTGAACTACGAGTGCTGTCAAGTTTTGTATGAAAACTATTAAAACTTTAAACAAAACAGTCTTCTAAATTCCTGTCCTTCTGGTTCCGCAGTCTTATCTTGCTTTTACACTTTTGTTTAAACTGTTCCTTCCCTTTCTTTTTTTTTTATTTAATTTGGAGTTAACTCAATAACCTAGTCTTTTTTTATTTCCTGCAGATGTTAAAATGATGAAACCCTCTCCCTCCCTGGAACAGTGCACAGCAGCAATGACATCTTCTCTGGTCCTCTGTGGAAGGTACACTGCAGCCTGCTGCTGAACTGTTATGACATGTCTCTAGCAATCAGAAAGAAAAGCTGGGAAGAACATGTGACCCAGTGGATGGGATTGGCTTTGGAGACTGTGGAGTATAATACAGCATGTCGTCACGGACTCACAGCTGATAACTTGCAGACAAGTATGGAAAAAGATGAGGTTTTGAGCATGGACCGGAAAGAAAAATGTGTTTCGTTTCCAGAGTGCTGTTATAGTGGAGAGCTAATTGGCTTCCCTGCAAAGCCGCTGGGAAATGTTTCAAAGGAGGTGGATGAAAACGATAACCATGAGGATGAGGAGCATTTTCTGGAGGCCAGCACAGAAACTCTAGTCCATGTGTCTGATGATGAAGATGACTATTCAACACTCAACCTGGATAGTGTTAATCACCATCTCACTGCTGTAAGAAGAGAACAAAAAGATGAAGAAAAGAGTTTAAATGGAGCAGGCTCCTTAACACAGGTTGTACCAATAACAGAGGGTAATAGGGCAGCTGAAGCATCTGGAATAATTGGAGATATAAGTAAGGAACCTGGTTGTGACATAGTTCCTGAAGAGGAGATGGAAGATGATGTTTGTGTCAGTATTGGCCAAAGCCTGGAGCTTTGTAATTATGAAGGCGTTAATGAAGTAGTAGATGTAGAGAAAGAAAATTGTTCTAATTCTGCAAATGTGAAAGAAATTATTATGCCTGGGAAGCAGCTGCTTCATACTGCTGTAATTGCACAACAGCGCCGGAAATCTGATGCTTTTAAAGATGAGCTTGGAAAGTCTGAGTGTAATGTGGTAGAGAGTGGGATTTCTTCTGAATCATGCACCAGCAGTGACAGACAACTATGTTCAGTAGTGGAATCCAGCAACTGCCTTATGCAATCTTCTCCTTGCTCCTGCATCCCGGCAGTGGAAAATGATCTGGATGAAAGTGGTTTCACAGAACCTCAAGTGGCCCCTGAAAACAAATGCCTTTCAAATGTCAGTTCAACAGAAGACATTCAATGTTTACATGTAAGGAATCATCTGACCACACAAGAACATTCAGACAGTCAAGTGAAATTGCGCAAAAGAAAGGTAGGATGCTCATAAAATGCAGAGATATTTTTCTAGTGTTTTTGCCCAATTTCTTATGAAGGCAATTCCATGACTAATCGATTGGAGATAAATGTGATTTTTCAGCCTTGTTTCATTCATTTGTCAAACAGTTTTGAGAAAAATCTGTCTATGCAACATCCGAGTTTCAGGAGCTCTCTTTGAGGTCTGGAAATGGCTGTCCTGTGAATTTGGAAAGTACCCTATATTCACGTTATTTCATATATATATAATTTTTTATATGTTATACAAGGCTAAATGAATAAATAACTTTTATGGGTTTGAGTTGACTTTTGCTTTTCTGCTGTTGTCAAGTATCTTTATCTCTTCTGTCTTAGGAAACAGATTGTGTCCAGGGGTTTGGAAGCCTTATTGAAAAAAGAGACCAGGGAAAAATCACAACAAAACTTTAAAAAGGGGGGGGGGGAAAATAAAAGAGTGGAAACTCTTTGCAGTAGTTCGTTCATTTTCAGCTTAGCTCCATGAGCATATGTTCTTGCAAAAAGAAGTACTGCTGAGTTCAAAACGATGTTTTGTAATTTTAAAGCAACCTGAGAGTTTCACTGTCTACAAAGAGTAAGGAAGTGTATAATTAAAAAAATTTAATGGACAGATTCCTTGGCTGTAAAACTCTCATTCACTTTAACAGAAGGAGATGTGCTGACTGTGGCACTACACTATTCATCTTAAAGTCAGGCCTTCCCAGCTACATTGCTTATTCTCATTAATAACCAATTTCTAACTGTTTATTTGTCTCTGCCTTTTATCATTTGTTATCATCCAGCTTCTTTTGTCTGTTTTTTTAGTAAATCTGGGTTTTATGAATTGTATGGGTTTTTTTTCCATCAGCTGTAGTGCCTCAGTAACTGTTTCGCTTCAGCACAAATTACGTAACTCTCCCCTCCCTGCCCCACCACAGCAGGGGGTTTGGAACTAGATGATGATCTTTAAGGTCTTTTCCAGCCCAAACAATTCTATGGTTCTGTACCTGAAGTACTGCATGCTAGCACAACATCCTGAACTGCTGGCCAATGCTTCCCTGTGCATACTCTTTGGTAATATTACACTCAACTTATATGGTCAGAAGCTGTAAGTAACTTTTGCAAAATGTTTCGGAAGCCCTGAAAACCAGTCTTCCTTTGGTAGTTCATGCAGTCACAGATAAAGTGGTAACTGTGGTACTGCAGTAAATCTGGTTCTGAGTTACAACTAAGAAATAGAAATCTGACTAGCAATAACAGAAATTCTATAACTTACTCATGTAGACAAAACAGTTGAGCGTTATAAAAAAAAAAAAAAAAAACCAAACCAAACCAAACCAAACCAACCAAAAAAAAAAAAAAAAAAAAAAAAAACCCACCAAAAAAACAACACACCTACCACTGGATTAACATCATATTTGAGAACTAATTGACTATTATGACCATATTCTCAGCTGCTCTCTTAGCATCTCATTTTCTTTTCTCTAAGCATCATTGCTAAGATTGATGTGTGTTTCATATTATCAGCGAGATGTACCATGATGTATTTTTAAATAGCTTCAATCCTGGTAGTTTCCATGTATCTTTTTGTATCTTGTTTTGAAGTCACAGGTCATCTTTTAAATGTATGTTCATGAGAGTTATATTAGAGAATATATTTGTGCTTGTGCCTTCAAATATTTAAAAAGACAGAATATAAAAATTCCAGTGAGACTAATAATGAGAAGAGCTAAGAAAGGATGTAAGCATAGAAAGGAGAAAAACCAGGAGTTACTTGAAGGAAAGTTGACAGTTATGCAGCTGGAGCAACTGCAGACCCTCGTACACTGTAAAATCAGCCTGTTAACTGGAAGGAGTCACCTCGTACCACTCGGGTTAAAGAAGTCTTTACCAACAACCATAAAAAGTTTGGAAAAAAATAGAAAAGGCATAATCTGCATTTTCTTGTGGTATTACTTGTCTCTAATTTTGCAGGGCACTTCTACAAACAATATTCCTGCATGCAGCACTTTATCACATAGATAGATCATGCCCTATTTTACAAAGGCCTGTCTGTGTTGGTAATAATCTGTAATAAAAAATGTGCCTATGTTTACAAACTTTCCCTAAAGCCACTTTTATAATTTTAACAAAACATTAGAAAAACAACAGACTTGAAAATGAATCCATCCATAAAAGCCAAGTATTTGCTTTGCAATGACAGGAAGACTTAAGGGATTGGGAATGGTATATAAACCCTTTTTTTTCAAGGTCAGCAGTTCAAACAGTGCAGTTAAGACCTAAACCACACCACTGCCTGATTAATGCTTGATGTCAATTATAGTTGCACATAAATATGTGCTCATAAAGGTCAGAATATGGGAAAAGGCACATGGAAATGAATTTTTAAAGATATTTGGGCACCCAAACCTCAAGATAGCAGCTTGCGGGAATCATAGAAAGGTGTTAAACTTCAGTACTTCCATGACAACTAAGATCTTAGGATCTTAGTAGACATCATTCTACTCCTGCTGGTATTGAATTATTTTGCAAACCTGTTCCTCATTAACATATTTTAAATTGCTTTTAATTGTGGCCATAGAGCATGACTTCCCTTCTTATCTTGAGATTGACTGTCTCCAAACTGAAGCTGAGACAGTATAGATGAGTGCAGACTTAAGGGATTAAGTGTAGTGTCTTTGACCAGCACTAGCTCCATTTCAGTAAATTGATTTAGTCATGATGGATGTACTGACATTGAAGATGCTTTTTGCAAGCAGAACCAGCTGTTACAGCATTCTTGGCTTCCTCAAGTCATCAGGTTTCACATGGTTGATACACCTCTTTTTCCTTTACTTTCCCAGAAAGACTTCTTAAGCCTCAGATAATAGGAAGCACCTGAATTTAATTGAGAAGTTAATGATATTAGGTCTACATGAAAGATCTCACAGTAACCAAGCTTTCCTGATTTTGTGTTGATTGATAATCAATCCAGCTTATCCACCACATGAAGGTGATGATTACTAATGGTTCAGAGTAGCAGAAGCATAAATGAATTGTCTATCTGTGGCTACACCAACTAGACCCACCTGTATGCTTCCCTGCATTAAATAAATTTTATATTTTAAAATAGTGTTTTCATTTGAGAATTCCGCATTTCCAAAGACTGGGATAATCTTTGGAACTAATGAGCAAGCTTTATGCTTGGGGCCTCCCAAAAACTTGTACGTTCACATATATAATAATGCAATATATAGCTTTTAGAGAACAATATCATTCAAAACCAGAAAAATATTAATTATTTTAGAGAAAACCAACAAAAAGAGTATATTTAATTCTTTAACACTGATTTTAAAATGGGAAAAAATGATCATCACCTTGTAAAGGATCTTACAAATTCTTGCATGTGCCTCATTTTGTTTTCTCCAAGCTGCTCATGCTTAGGAACAGATGGAAAAATCCCTGCTGGGGGTTATTAATAGGTGTACAAATGCACTAGAACTCAAACACATTAATCTAAATTCTTTTTCAACATGAAAAAGCTATTTCATTCAACATCAGCTTTAAAAAGTGAGTTGAGGCATATAGCTTCACAATAAATTCTCACCACTCACTTCCCAAATAAAATCATAGCTGTGGTGTTGCAGCCTATATTAATCAGTATTTTGTAAATGTAATTTTAAAACAAGGCAAGGACAGCTCTTTTACATGATGAATCAGTAAAGGAGTAGAAAGTCATCATCGTGAAGTTTGACTCTGAGCAGTTTAAGTAAAAAGCCATGAAATCTAAACCAAAAAAAAGAACCAGCATGACTTTTCATTTCTCTCTTCTGTAGGACAATGTTATATCATATATTATTTTTAATAAAATACAA